CCTACATGACAGTCCTCAGGATTACTGAAGCTTCTGAGGGCTTTGAAAATGCTGAAAACCTAGAAGTGTCTCCCTAGAAAGTATCTGGTAGCTGCAGTTCTTCTAATGCACTGGCTGATTACATGACAGTAGCTCTCCTTGTTTCCCACAGCTAAATTATGTCAGACAGCTAAAATACACGAAATGCTATCCCGTATTATTTTCTCTGTGAGTTACTGCTTTAGTTGTCAAGGGACAGCTCCATCAATGGAAAAGGAGAAGTCAAGGGGGTAATTTCCACTGCCCTCGTCTTTGCAGAGTTATTAGTTCCTCGGCAATTCAAGTGCAGAATGAAAACACATTTATATTTGATGGCATTTACACTCAATTTGAACAATTGTAATTGACTTCACAAGCTGCAGAGTGGTGAACAAATAGATCCAGGGTATCCTTACAGTTAACCTGTATTTTTAAAAACAAGAAGTCCATCAAAGTAAACTTTTTTCTACAAAAATTCTGGTACCTACCAAAACACTAGTGCTTTCCCACACTGGTGTCTCTGTGAAGTGACAAGCTTACCAAGAAATCATCCTGTGTTCTCAACACTATACAGCAAGGTTCCCTGAAGTTACAGTGAAAGGAGACAACACTTGCCCTAGTGTCTCAAAAGGGGCTGCTTGTGCAAAGAAGACTGTACACTGGCTAGGAAGGAGTCCAAGGCAATGAATTGACCTGCTGGTAGGATCATATCATTATATCTGAAGGAAAGATTAAAGCCCATTTTGTGTGAGCTCTCCAGGGCCAGTCACGGAGTGGCACAAGTCTGCCAGCCACGTGTGGACTCTCAGTTTCACCCTGGCTGCATGCCTTCTCCAGGGAGTGAGAGCTGGGCTGGGGACCATGCCTGCCTTTTGGTTCAGGGCTGTCTTTTCTTGTTGGTTGCAGAGTTTGTTCGCATGATGTCCCGTTGAAGATTATTCTCAGCTAAAGAAGAATCAGCACCTTAGAGAGGGCAGAAGAGGACCTAGGTGGAACGTCTAGCCCCAGTGTTCCCACATGAAGGTTTATCGGCTGGCTGCAACTGAGACATTGCAAGATGACCTGCTGCTCCTCCCTCATGGTGGTCCCCATGCCCCTCCACCCTTTCACACTGTGAAAGACTTGCAACTTCCTACAACTGGAACCATTCCTTGGAGATGATTGCAGGAAACTGCAGAGCCAGGACTTCCCATGATGCTTTCATGGGATAATTGCAACTTTAGAGTCCTCCTCCCCAGCTTTATTCTCCCACCAGCTGCTGCAAAGCAAGAGCAAGAGAAATCCTCTTGGCTTGGTGGATGAGAGCAAAGCCATCGGGATTGGTGGCAGCCTCAGGGCGTGCTCTGCACTTTTTGGTTTCCCTTGGTGAACCGTGTCTGTGTTTGCTGTCTCTGTGTGTGTGTCTATCTGTGTGGAGTTATTTATGCTTCCCCGGCACGTATTCGCATCTCCTGTGGTTATGTTTACCAAGAGTAAATTCAAATACATGTCTTGCAGGGGGAAAGCGATAAATATGCACGCTGAAATGATGTGGAGCCTGGATGTCCCTCTGAGAGGTGGTGGCTGGGCTGGGGGAGAAGGGCTTCGTCAGATGCACACCCCGGCTTCTGCACCAGGGTCTGGAGGCGAGTCCTTGCTGCAGGAAGGGG